CCTGGCCCCAGGCAGGCAGGGGTGGGGAGAGGCGGGGAGGAAGCAACTTACCCTCCCTCTTCTCCTGCCTCCTCCTGGCTGAATGAGGGCCGGAAGCGGGGCGGCCGGAAGCAGGGGGCGGGGCTTCGTCGTGTGCCCCGCCTCCCCACACCTCACCCGGGGGAACTGCGATTGTGGGGAGGAAGCAACTTACCCTCCCTCTTCTCCTGCCTCCTCCTGGCTGAATGAGGGCCAGAAGCGGGGCGGCCGGAAGCAGGGGGTGGGGCTTCGTCGTGTGCCCCGCCTCCCCACACCTCACCCGGGGGAACTGCGATCCCCCGTGATCCTCCCCGAATCAACCTCTGCATGTCCTGAATAATATTATTATTATAAGCCTTCCTATTTTTGGTCCAGAAGATACAATCATGATTAACTTATTGTGTTATTATTGCATAATTGAGCTGATATATACAAATATTGCTTGACCACTGAAGGAGGCCGCTTTGGCTGAAACCCGTCTCGTCTGGTTGCAGTGGGTCCCACTTGTGTATATTGTACACTTTTATTCCGTATTGAGGCTACAATCGAGCCCATAATTGTTTTTAACTAATTGATAATAAATACTTGTACCTCTGATAATATTTAAGATATAATTATAATTCTTTAGCCCTTTACTCTGTATGTAACTTAACATCTCCTGTACTTGATTCATTTGTTTAGGTTAAGTCCCCTCTCTCTCTTCCACTCCCCAAGTCTCAGGAAACTTTGGAGCTCTACCCTTTCATGCCTCATCTCTAGAATGCTTTGCTGTTTGAGGCTACTGGAGGAGGGATTCTTTCCAAACTCTCACCTACCCAGCTCCCTGGATTTTAGAGTTTTAAATCCCTATCAGGTCAGAATGCTATCTGCTTTAAAGATCATACCCCCCTGCTCTTTCAGCTCTTATAAGGTCAGATGTCTGCCTGATAAGCCTTAATGGTAGAGGGGTGAAAACAGAGCTGCCAGCCTCCAGGTAGGACCTGACGCTTTCCTGCTGTTACAGTTGATCTTTAGGCAATAGGTATCAGCAGGGCTCATTTTGTAGAAAAAGAGGTGCAGGAGCTCATTCGCATAACTCATTAGCATAACTTATTTGCATGTGCCACACACCCTGACATTACCAGAAGTGTGTCAGAAGGCAACACCCACCACTCAGGCTTCACTGGACTGTTTTGGATTGCTAGCTATGAGGGGGGGGACGCACAGATCTGCCCTCACAGAGGAGGGAGAGCTTGTACCTGAAGGCGGGCCGGGCAGGGGGCTCTGCAACTTACCTGGCTGCTTCTTGCTCCTCGTGGCCCAGCTGTCATCACAACTGAGGGCTGCTGGGAGCAGGGGGCAGGGCTTGTTGCATGTGCCCGCCCCCTGGGCTCCTTACTGCCGGAGTTCCGCTCCTGTGCGCTCCTGCAGAAAATGACCCCTGGATCAGTTCCCCTGGAGAAAATGGCTGCTTTGGAGGGTGGACTCTATGGCATTGTACCCTGCTGAGGTCCCTCCCCTGTCTAAACCCCACCCTCTCTGTGCTCCACCCCCAAAGTCTCCAGGTATTTCCTCACCCAGAGCTGGCATGTGTAGGTGAAAACCTTA